GAGAGGAGAGGAGAGGAGAGAGAGGAGAGGAGAGGAGAGGAGAAATATTATTGATAACATAAAATACATGTACTAACCTTCACAAAGATGTCCGTCCAATGCCTCGTTCGAAATTTTTGATACTCGTCCGTCCAGTGAAAATGACCGTTACAAAGGTTTTAAATCATCGCAGAGACACTACACACGAAAAATTTCCGCGGCGACATCGAGAATGTAAATGAATAACGCAAGCACTGGAAAGGATTTGGGGTGGGTGGGTGTGGTGTGGGTGTGGGTGGGTGGTGGGGTGGTGGGGTGGTGGTGGTGTGGTGGTGGTGGTGGTGTGGGTGGGGTGGTGGGTGGTGGTGTGGGTAGGGTGGTGGTGGTGGTGGTGTGAGTGGGTGATGAGTGAGGGTTGAGTGGTGTGTTTGTTTTGGCACGACATCCACTTTTCATATTTTCTGTACCTCAAGCTAACCCAACATATCCTCCTTACTACTTTTGAATAACAAGGAAATGGAAGGCAACGTGCATGATGAGATAAATGGGAGAGAACCAAATGGATAAAAAGGAGAGAAAAGTGAATAGGCATGAGCAGCGAGAGATAACGGGTGGGGAGGAGAAGCGACAATGTTTGCTATGTCAACATAACATGACCTCACACGTGTCGTGTGCATTCATACAGCAAAGTAACAGCTTCTCTTACCACACTTACTTAAAATGAAGAATCATAATGATCACAAAACCTTTATAACTTAAATAGATTTACATATGTATTTGTGCACCAAAACAAATATATCACTCTGTATGATTATCTATGCGTGTTGGTGCACGCAGACACAGACGCACACAGTCACAGTCACACAGTCACAGTCACAGTCACTTACTTACTCACTCACTCACTCACTCACTCACTCACTCACTCACTCACTCACTCACTCACTCACTCACTCACACTCACTGTGTGTGTGTGTGTGTGTGTGTGTGTGTGTGTGTGTGTGTGTGTGTGTGTGTGTGTGTGTGTGTGTGTGTGTGTGTGTATGTATGTATGTATGTATGTATGTATGTATATAGAAATAAAAAAATAATAATATATATTCATATGCATACATACATATTTATATACATTATGATTTTGATTGATAGGTATATAGATATATATTATATATTATATATATATATAAAAATACAAAATATATATATGTCAACATACATATAAATATGTATATAAATAAAAATAATAATATACATAATATATAATGTATATATATATGTATATATATTTATCTATATTTATATATAGATATAGATATATATGATATATTTATTTTATGGATATAATAAAATGAAAAAGAAAAGAAAAGAAAAAAAAAAATGTTGAATGAGAGAAGAAGAGACAATGAGGTAATGTATGTTAATATAAAAAAAAAAAAAAAAAAAAAAAAAAAAAAAATTGATGGCATAGCCTATAACTTGTGTTCTGTGTAAAATGTATTGATGACATGACATATATTATGATTACATGGAACAAATCTGAACAAAAGATACATACAAATTAGAATATTGAAAATCATACAATCAAAGTTCTAATGAAGATAAATAGAAAATAAAATAGAAAATAAACATACCTCATAGGCCAAGCTTCATGATAATGATCTGGAAGAATAGAATATAACATGAAAATCAGTTAAAATGAGCAAATATATACTGATTG